ATCATTGCCATGTGCCGCACAAGAAAAGACATTTGTTGACAGAGGAGTTGCTTCATGTCTCTCTCTCTTTCAGAGATACTACCTTTGCATCTTTCACTGCTTGCTCCTTTAGAAAAGGATTCACTGTGTAGCAGGTGAGTACTTGTTTTGTTTGCACACTTGGAGTCCCAAGGTTCAAGAAACATTTTTTTTTCAGGAAACCTCAGAAGAGCAGCAGCAGCAACTGCAAAGGTGAGGCAGATGCAGTGCTGTAAGTGAAGCCAGCCTTTTAGAGGACACACTCGGTAGACAACCTAAGAATGAGTGAGAACCATTGCTTTTGACTGTATGATGTGGACCCTCTTTAAAATGACTGACATAGTGAGTGCCACCATCCGGGCCTCGCAGAACACAAACTCTCCCTAACCCGAGAGACAGCAGCTCCAGCAGTGGGGCTGCTAGGACCATCTGAGGCACAAGACCTGCAACACCAAGCAAAACAAAAATACAAACAACCCTGTTATGTAAAGGTTGATTCTCATCATCATAAGAAAGATGCATTTGTTCATTAATGGCAAATATTGGCCTGTGAAAAGACAATATAGAATGGAAAAACACTGTGAGGGTAACCTACAAATGACACTAAATAGCCAGATGGTCACTTCATTTTGCCAGGAATAAATATGAAGTAGCAGCTACTCTTTCCTTTCTTTTTAAAATTTACTGCTTTTCTAGATGATGATGGCATGGGGAGTTTTAACCTCATGCTTAAAACTATCTGTCAACGCTCTTTTCTTTGCCCTTTTTCTAAAATATTTATAGTCCCTTTTTTCTTTTGCCTAAAACATTTCCTATTCTATGTTGTTTTCCATAGCCAATATAACCATGCTGTCGGTCTGTCATGCTCTCTTAATTTAGTCTTTCTTTTGTCTTTTTCCCTTTCTTTCTAAATATTTTGGCTCCTTTAATAATCAAGCATTTGCACTGAAAACGTGAACCAACTCTATGGCTCCTCTGTTGTGGTTACTTTCAAGTCCTTTGAATCATATTGTTTTGACTGAACTGTCAAGATTTCAAAACTCGTTGCCAACGGAAAGCCATCTGCGGCCCCAAATATAGCAAGCGAAGGCATCTAACTGGTTGCCGACAGGGGGCAGAGCATGTCCACTCAGTGGTACCGTAGGTCTTTTGCCTGCTCGCCAAAGTGAACAATGGATCACCTCCAAGCACCTTACAATACCATCTCCGGATCTTTGTTGTTATTACTTCACAAAAGGGTATATGAAAAAGTTGGCTTTTCAGCAAAAGTCTTTTATCTTTCTCTCCAGCAATGAACCACCCCTGCTGGATTTATTTTTAGTTTTTCTTCTGGAAGTGTTAGGAAAAAGAAAGATTATGCAAATTAAAATGTCATGTCAATTCATTGCCCCATTCAGCTCCATCATTTTTATTTTCCTAGGCTTAGATGGGAGGCATGCTTCTTGACTGCTCTGCGCTAAGGCATGGAAGCAAACATAGGAAACTGTGTGGAGAGTTGTGTAGAATGGGGTGATCTGGAACAACCCTAGTCTCCACTGGAATCATTAGATCACTTACGGCTCTCTAAAAACGATCTCTCCCACTCTGCACTTTTGCATAACTATGCACGAGAAGTGGGATTTAATACATAAGCTGTGGGTCTACAGCCAAACTGTTAGCTGATAAATTCCAGCTAATTCAAACAATTTTCCTGTGAGGATTCCAGTATGAATAAAGCTTAACCTAGCAAAATAAATGTTGCAATGTGAGTGACTGAGGCATAAGTTGGGAAGGGAGGAGAACCCACAATATGTTATTCCCTCCCTTATGTGTATTCTGGTGGCCTCGTGCCAATCATTTTGAAAGGGAAATATTTCCATCCACCCACCCCAAGAACAAGTAAGCAGTTTTTCCTGGCTACAAGCATGTCCATTATGAAGCAGCGCAGAAAGATCCTGCTAGGAACGCTGCCACTTGCAAGATCAGATCAACATGGGAAAGGTCTCGCTCCTGAAGCTGTACACCTTCTTCAGACTGGCCCAATATTCAACACTGAGGTCAAGGAGGCTGTGACTTAATATTTTCAGTGTGGCTTTTTAATCTTTTAATTTTTGTATTTTAAGGAACATTTGCTTTTTATATTTTTCTTCTTTCATCCTTTTTACTTGTTTGTTCTACTTTTTGGTGCTCTAGAACCAGGGGGTTATATAAAGATATTGATAAATAGGGACAGATGGAAACACATGCCATCACAAATTCACTCTTCTGGATGCATTTTCAAGCATCCAAATGAACTAAGGGCCAATACAGGTAGTCCTCACTTACTGCCTACAATAGGAACCAGCAACTCCACTGCTTAGAGATGCGGTCATAAAGTAAAATATCATGTAACCATGCTGATTTATGACATCAGTTCCTGCTGTGGTCATTAAGTGAATCCTACACAGTTGTTAAACGTGATGTGACTGTGACTTGCGACTTCCTGCTGGCTTCTCCATGGATTTTGCTTGTTGGAAGTCAGCTGTGAAGGTTGCAAATGGTGATCATTTGACCATGGGACACTGACCAACGTAAATGTGCACCAGTTCCTAAGTGCCCAAATCATGATCACGTGAGCAGGGATGCTTCAATGGCCACAAATTTGAGGACTGGTCGTAAATCTCCTTTTCCAGCATTGCCATAACTTCGAACAGTGTGATGGAATGGAATTAAGAAGGCCAGGTTCAGAGAGAGAAACATTTTCTTAGCTCGCCAGAAGAGCGTGGGAGGAACAAGAGGATG